TGCTCATCTCCGACGTTCTCTACGTTCTAGGCGTTCAGGCGAATCTGCTTTCGGCTGGCCAGCTGAAGGAGAGCGGGGTGACGCTGAAGGACGACGGCGATCGGATGTTGCTCGTCTCCGCGGCGGGGGACGTGCTCGGTCGAGCGACGTACACCGGCCGGGTCCTCTGCACTGACCTACGCCCATGCGCGGTAAAGGCGACGACGCCCGCAAAAGAGGAGGTGGCTCTGCGGGCGATAGTCTCGGCGACGAAGGCAACCCCGAACAGGCTGCACGCGAGGCTTGCGCATGTTGGCATGGACACGATACGGAGCTCGGCGCAGCTCGAGGTCACCACTGGGCTGGACCTCAAGTCGGCGTCTGGCGCCGACTCACCGTGTGTTTCGTGCGTCGGCGGGAAGCTGGCGCGGCACACCTTCCCCGACCACGGCTCCGAAGCCGACGACGTCCTGGCCATCGTGCACATCGATTTGTGCGAGCCATTTCGCGTGGCTGCCAAGGACGGCAGCCTGTACTTCGTGCTGCTGAAGGACCGCAAGACCCGCTACGTGTGGGTGAGGCCGGTCGCCAAGAAGTCGGACGTGCTACTGGAGTTCCAGAAGTGGCTAGTGCTGGTGGAGCGGCAGGCGAAGCATTCGGTGCTGCAACTGCGTTCTGACCGCGGAGGCGAGTTCCTCGGAAAGGACTTCACCGCCTTCGTGGACAGCAAGGGAATCATCCACGACCTGACCTGCCCTTACACCGCGCAGCAGAATGGCATGGCGGAGCGGGAGATGCGGACGGTGGTGGAGTCGGTGCGGACGATGCTGTTACACATGGGCGTGCAGCACCACTGGTGGCATCTCGCTCTACGCCAGGCCGTCTGGGTTCGCAACTGCCTGGAGCGGTCGTCGCTGCCCGCGGGGACGACGCCGTACCAGCTCCTCACCGGGCAGAAGCCCGACTTGTCGATGGCGCGAGTGTGGGGCTGCATGGCACAATTTCTCGTCCCTGAGCAGCAGCGCGGTGGGAAGCTGAAGCCGAAGGCCCGGTGGGGCCTTCACCTCGGCGTGTTGGAGGAGAGCAAAGGCTGGGAGCTCCTCGACATCACCGCCAACCGGGTGGTCACCACGTTGGACGTGGTGTTCTACGAAACTCTGTCGCTGGAGGTGTGGAAGTCGGAGTTCGGGCCCGCGTCGGGGCGGACGCGGGCCAACCCACCGATGAACACCTCGACGGCGATGCTTCCTCTGCTCGCCGAGGTCGGTGAGCAGGCTGCTGAGGATGTCGCGGTCACCCCTGCCTCGCCATCTCCTGCCCCTTCTTCCCCTCCCCTTCCCGTCGGACTGCGTGGCTTGACTCCGGTGTCGGCCTCCGGCGATGAGGGGAGTCGTGGGGCGTCGCCTGTGGCGCCGGCCAAGCGCATCGCCGGTGGCCGACGTGACGCTCAGCCAGACGCGGAGAAGAGGACCGCGGAGGAGACCGCGAAGGCCACCGCGAAGGAGCCCACGGAGGAAACCGCGGAGGAGACCGCGAAGGAGATCGCGGAGGAAACCGCGGAGAAAACCGCGGAGGAGATCGCGGAGGAGACCGCGAAGGAGCCCGCGGAGGAAACCGCGGAGGAGACCGTGAAGCCAACCGCGGAGCAGTTGGCAGGGGAGCTTTCGAACGGGAAGCGCGTTTCAGAGGAGCGGACGACAGGGGAGCAGTTCGATGAAGGCACGTCGAGCGACGTGGTGGAGGTGCAGCCCGGACCTCGGAAGTCGGGCCGAATTCGGAGGCCACCCGACTTCTTCGTCCCCGCTGCCTTCACCACGGTCTACGATGTGGACGACGACGGCGTACGATGACGCCGAGGACGATGAGGAGTTTTCGGAGCTCGACCCCGACATGCACGCCGATCCCGAGCACCGTTGGGACATTTCGACCATGACGGTGAAGGAGGCGTTGGCAAGCTGGAAGGGACCGGCGGTGAAGGCCGCCATGGAGGAGGAGATTCGTAGCCTCATCAACATGGGCACTTGGGAGCTGGTCGAACGCCCGCCGGGGGTGAACATAATGAAGAACCGGTGGGTGCTGACAACGAAGTACCGCATCGACGACACTGTCGAGCGCGAAAAGGCGAGGCTGGTCGTGAAAGGCTTCACGCAGGTGTATGGCGCTGACTACGACGAGACGTACGCGCCGGTGAGCAGCTACGTCACGCTGAGGATTTTCCTCAGCATCGTCGCCGTCCTCGACCTCAACCTGATGCAGCTGGACATGAAAAACGCCTTTTTGCAGAGCAAGCTCGACCGCGTGCTGTACATGTACCAGCCGGACTACTTCATCGACGGGACCGGCCGGGTGTGCAAGCTGCTGAAGAGCCTCTATGGGCTGAAGCAGTCGCCGCTGCTGTGGTACACGGCTCTCAACGACGTGTTGGTTGGCGCCGGGTGGAAGAAGAGCCAAATCGACGAGGCTTTGTAATTCAAGGCCGGAGACGACAAGGTGACCTGCTGGGTGCTGGTCTACGTCAACGACCTTCTCGGAGCAGCAGCATCGCGATGCTGAAGGAGCTGAAGGAGCTGCTGGAGGCCGCTTTCGAGCTGCGCGAAATTTCGCCAGTGCAGAAGTATCTCGGCCTGGAGATCGTGCGCGACAGGCCGGCGCGAAAACTGTGGCTGCACCAGCAGGGCTACGCCGACAAGCTGCGCAGGTGCTTCATCGACGTGGAGCAGACCGGGCGCACTACGAAGACGCCGGTCTCCGTCGCCGCCTACGCGGAGCAGACATTCGACGACGAGGAGGCGCAGGAGCACGAGGAGGAGGAGTACACGCAGAAGGTCGGCTCGCTGCAGTTCGCGGCGACGACGACGAGGCCGGACATCGCATTCGCGTGCAGCAAGCTGGGGAGCGGCCTCACGGCGAGGAGCGACCAGCACTGGCGCGAGGTCGACCGCTGCCTCGCCTACCTCGCCAACACGCGCGACACCGCCCTGGAGTTCGGCGGTGGTCCGGAGTCACTGGAGTTGGTCGGCTACGTGGACGCCGACGACGCCGGCGACAAGCAGAACCGGATGAGCACGGGCGGCTACGTGTTCGTCTATGGAGGGGCTGCGGTCTCCTGGTCGAGCCAGCGCATCAAGTGCGCGACGCTGTCATCGACCGAGTCGGAGTACGTGGCGGCCGTCGAAGCCGGCAAGGAGGGACGTCGCCTTCGCTTCCTCCTCGCGGAGTTCCAGCGGCTGGACGCTGGGAAGCCGACTGTCCTCAGGGTGGACAACAAGTCGGCCATCACGGTCGCCGAGGGCATGGGGTTGACGGGCAACCTCAAGCACATGGAGCGGCGACAGGCCTGGCTGCAGCACATGGTGAAGCGCGGGAAGTTCTCGCTGATGTACATCCCGACCACCGAGCAGCCGGCCGACTTCCTGACGAAGGCGCTGCACTACCCGGCCTTCAACCGGTGCTCCATTGCAATCGGCCAAGTGCGCCTGGCCGATGTGGGCGACGGTGACAACGACGTGCAGCAGTAGGTGCCATGCCCTCTTGCATGGCTGGTGCGGTGACCGGCGTGCTGTGCGTTGTGTGCACGCCGACGGGCTATTCTCCGAGCAGTGCTGCCGTGTGAGCTGGGGGGGCCCAAGCGTGAACGCGGCAGGGGAGTGTCAACGGGAGTAGTGTTTGGCCCCGTCCTCGCTTGGGCGGAGCCGACCGCAAAACCGCGGGAGACGCGGGACCGCGGGAGGGCCGCGGGACTGCGGGAGAACCGCGGAACCACGGGAGAACAGCGGAACCGCGGGAGAACCGCGGGAGAACCGCGGGACCACGGGAGAACCGCGGGAGACGCGGGACCGCGGGAGGGCCGCGGGACCGCGGGAGGGCCGCGGGAGAACCGCGGGGCCGCGGAAGAACCGCAGGAGAACCGCGGGACTGTGGGAGAACCGCGGGACCGCGGAAGGGCCGCGGGACCGCGGGACCGCGGCAGAACCGCGGGGCCGCGGGAAGGTCGCGGGAGGCCGCGGGAGACCACGGGGCCGCGGGAGGCCGTGGGGCAACCACGGGACCGCGGGGACCGCGGTGGCCGCGGATGGACGACCGGGGGCCACGGGGGCCGCGGGATACCCGGGCAACGTGGGCGAAAGTCGCCGGGGGTGCTCTCTGCGAGGACGACCTCGGGGGTGGTATCCCGAGGTCGACGTGGCTGGTGGGCGCCGTCACGGGTGGAGTGTCTGCGCTGGGCATGTGACGGGGAGTTGGGCGCCAACCAGCTGCACGCACCTGCGAAGCAGGTGCACCGGTGTCCCGCGGATGCAACGCTGTGCAGCCGACTTACTACAGCGTTGGCACACCGCGGACTGGCAACGTTGGCAAGCCGCGACTCTGCTCTGCTGGAGCGCGCTCGACCAAGTCGTGCTGGCACGCGGTCGACCGTGCTGCGCTGGCAGTCGACCAGCAGCCTTGCTAGGTCTTATGTAGTCTGTGTTGCCAATATTGATTCAATTATTCTGAACTTTTGTTGTCATGTTTTCCTAGTGGAACTCTTGCCAATTTTCCCCGTGAACTAGCAAGCAGTGTTAGCACTTGGAAACGACTAAGGAACGAACTAACGCTACGATCACTCTTGCCCCGTGCCTAGCCCGTAGTCTAGCTCCCGTTGCACTAGTTATCTCCGCAGCGTGGCATGTGCTTCAACAGTGGGAGAGGGCAGAACAGACGAGAGGGCCGAAGGGGGTGATGGTGGAGAGGGGGGGCTGGGAAGCAGCGGATAGGTGGAAGACAAAGCGCGTGAGGATGAAGAGGTGGAAGGTGCGGAGCTGGCAGGTGCCTTGGCTGCTCTTGGCTTGCCCAGCAGTGGAAGGGACCGAGTCTTGCAATCAGCTCAGGAGATTAAGGTGAGTCCTGGGAAGGTAAGGTGAAAGTGGAATCAGCAGTGGTGGAAGTTGAAGGGCGCAAGGATGAGGAGCTGGCAGGCGGCACCCTGGGTGGCTGCTCTTGGCCTGCTCGTGCAATTCCGCACAATTCAGGTGGACCAGACCATGCAGACAGCACGAGACGCTTTGGTGAGTGAGTGCGCATGAACTTCATGTGATTGATCACCCACTTCCTGCTGCTCTCCCCGTAGTGCCCTTTGCATTGATCCTGATACCACGAGATCCACTCTAAAGCATTTTCTTTGCATTTTCAACCCTTTCCAAAAAAATGCTGCAGAGTGGATCTAGTGCCGGCTGTCTCTGGGCTGCACGGTCCGGGCCACTCCACTGACTGGCGGCCCCTCCCCACCACTGCATGGAGACGAACAGGGCAGCGGGTCTGCACATGGAGGTTACTACAATGTTTGTTTATGTCTCAGATTGATCCTCTTCTCACGCCTTTTCTTTTGTTTGTGTTTGTGTGTGTGTGTTCCTTTGAAGCAGCAGCAGCAGGGAAGTGGCGGCGCTAGTGGCGATGGTGGTTCTGGTGGGGCTCGTGGAGGAAAGAAGAAGAGGTGGGGGAGGAGGAGGGGGGATGGACAGGGAGCAGCAGAGGGCGATATAGGTGCAGGGGTAGAGGTTGGTACAGAGGGCATGGCGGGGGTGGGTGCAGCGATAGCAGTGGAAGGTGGTGCAAATGCAGCAAGGCACGTTGCTGCTGGTGATGCATGCATTAGTGCTCTCAGTCTCAGAGGGACATCGGCGGAGGGTATGGCAGGAATGGTAGTGGAGGGGTGCGGTGTAGAGGCAGTGGAGGGTGGCATGGGGACAGCAGCACAGGTTGCTGCAGAGGCAGACGTAGGTGCTTCTAGAGGAAGAGTGTCAGAGGGTGGTGCAGAGAAGACGAGGGGAGAGAAGGTGGGGGGGGAGCAGGTGGAAGGGTAGGCACTGGAAGGGCAGGTACAGGGGGTGTCATTCGTGGTGGCGGAGGAGGGTGCATGGCAGGCGGTGTGGGAGCCTCTCTCCCACGGCATGTACTTCTGCAGTGCTGCCGCCGCCATCACCCAGTGGCACCCACCAGACCACAGCGAGGGGAGTGGGCTCGCGTGCTGGGTGAGATGGACGCCCGAATAGGCTGTAACTCACCAGGAAGTATCTGTAGAGGGTGTTTCTGTAGCGAAGCAGGTCTTATTTGAGAAGGACCTAGCAGAGGAGGCTGTAGAAAAGGAGGCTGTAGCAAAGGAGGCTGTAGCAAAGGAGGCTGTAGCAAAGGAGGCTGTAGCAAACGAGGCTGTAGCAAAGGAGGCTGTAGCAAAGGAGGCTGTAGCAAACGAGGCTGTAGCAAAGGAGGCTGTAGCAAAGGAGGCTGTAGCAAAGGAGGCTGTAGCAAAGGAGGCTGTAGCAAAGGAGGCTGTAGCAAAGGAGGCTGTAGCAAAGGAGGCTGTAGCAAAGGAGGCTATAACAAAGGAGGCTGTAGCAAAGGAGGCTGTAGCAAAGGAGGCTGTAGCAAAGGGGGCTGTAGCAAAGGAGGCTGTAGCAGCGGGGTATGAGAAGTACTGGCAGCAGCGGTACGGTCTGTTTCCACGGTTTGATGAGGGCGTCCGATTGGATGCTGACGCGTGGCCCCTTGTCACTCCTGAGGCCATCGCCGCCCACCACGCTGCCATGTGCGCTGCTGCCATGGATTATGATGATGATGCCACGTGTGCAGGGGGTGATGCTGCCACGTCAGCAAGAAACGCTGATGATACCACTTGTGCAATTAATGGGGCCGCCACTTGTGCAGAAGATGGTGCTGCCATGTGTGCTGGCCACCCCAACGGGGGATGGATTTTGTAAGAGGCGGGTGGGCAAGGCGATGTAGCTCGCAGATTTCTGTGTGTTCGGCTTTGTAACAGGTAGCTTCAGTGGCTCATATTGTAGCTTCACTGTTACTCCTGCTTCATTGTGTGGTGACCGTGACTCCACTAAACAACTTGTACGGTTCGTGTGTACCGTCTCTTGAGAGGTCTCAATAACCGTCCCCCCTGCTTGCATGTATCCATGCCACAACCATAGCATTCTCTTCGAGATTGTTTGCTTCCTCATCACTCCCTGTCTCACTTCCCATTCCCCTTCCCTACCTCCACATTCATTCTCCCAGCTGCCCCCACGTGCTGGCCATAGACACAAGCCTGCCTCGCCTGGCCATGCTGCAACACAACCTGTCTCTTTGGTTCGGCCCCTATGCCTCCTCAAACCCGTATGTCCCTAAGCTCATCTGTCTACTCCTCACCCCCACCTGCCAAACCCCCAACCCCAACCCCTTCCAGCTGCCCCCACGTGCTGGCCATGCCGTAGACATGAGCCTGCCTCGCCTCGCCATGCTGCACCACAATCTCGCCCTCCACCCCCCTGTGCCTCCACATGTCCACCTGGCCTAAATCTCTCTTCTCCTCAACCCCAACCTTGAATCCCTCGGCCCCTCTCAGCTGGCCCCACGTGCTGGCCATTGGCACAAGCCTGCCTCGCCTGCCCGCCCATGCTGCACCACAACCTTGCTCCTCACTCCCCACCTGCCAACCCACCCCCGCACCTCTCAGCTGCCCCCACGTGCTGGCCATTGGCACAAGCCTGCCCCACCTGCCCATGCTGCACCACAACCTGTCGCTTTATGGCGCTTGTGCTCACGCTCCATCTCTCTAGCCCCCACCCCTTTGCAGGTTACGAGAACACTTCCAAGCAGTTAGAATTCTCTCCACATAAAATCCGCGTGAACTGAGACGACTTTTGAGGTGCCTCAAAAGTCCTCTCGCTTTATGGCGCCTGTGATCACGCTCCATCTCTCTGGCCCCCACCCCCCAAACCCCAACCCCAACCCCTTCCCAGCTTCCCCCACGTGCTGGCTGTTGATATGAGTGTGCCTCGCCTGCCCATGCTGCAACACAACCTCGCCCTCTACGGCCCCTGCACCTCCACAGCTCCCTAAGCTCAACTCTCTGTTCCTCACCCCCACCGCCCAACCCCAACCCCTCCCAGCTGCCCCCATATTCTTGCCATAGATATGAGCGTCCGTCGCCTGGCCATGCTGCAGCACAATCTCAGCGTCTACGGCCCCCACCTGCCCTACCGAGTGGATGCACTTTGTGCTGACTTCCTCTCTCTTGCACCACGGCTAAAAGTGAGGGGCTGCATGCACGAGGCATGACTTCCTTTGTGTTAATGCACCGTGCCTCATGTGTGGATGCACCGTGCCTCATGTATGGATACGCATAGGCTGAGGAAGCGTGCACACGCCAATATGCGCTATCCCAATGCATCAGTATCCAATGCGTCAGCACCCTTACATGTTCAATTCGCGTGCTCATTTTAATGTTGCCATGCTCCCACACATTCGGTTTAGATAGCCTAACATCCGTGTGACCATGCTTATCGTGAGTGCACAACATCGCTGCAATTTTCCATCCACCATATTCTCAAGCCCCGATGCAGTATGGCCACTATGCTGCAGCATGTCTAACTGCTGTCTTCCACTTGCTGCCTCTGCCCTTTCGCGTTTGGCTCATTTGCCTAAGGCCTGGCTGGTGTGGCTCATGCTGCCGTGCCTATATACTCCCACCCCATGCTCCCATGCTCGCATGCTCCAATGCTGCCATTTTTCGATGGCCCCATGCTTCCATATGACCACCCTCCCCATGCCCACATGCCGCTCCTTATGCCCCATACCTCCATGACCCCATGATCCATCGTGTTTTGAGTCGACTCAAGACGCTCCTTATGCCCCATACCTCCATGACCCCATGATCCATGGTGGCGTGTTCCCTTTGTTAAGATAGTAGGTAGGAATGAGTGGACTATGAATGAGATTGGTACAAATATGAAACCCTAAAAGGGGCTGTACCCCATATTGGCTACCCCACTATAGCCTAAACATATATATCATTTGACACACCCCCATAGGCAAAGTGGGGGAGAACAAGGGGTCACAAGACCAGTCATGAGAAGCAAAGCAAGCTCAGGGTGGATCACAACGTCACCACACAATCTGAGCACAAGCAAAGGGCCAAAGGGCCAGTCCGCATGCAGAAATATATATGCAAAAGCAAAAGTACAGTGATCACTACCTAACAAGTGTAGGCATGCAGGTATACAATATAGATCACAGTACAGCCAAGGTCAAGAAGTAAGTAAGTGAGAAGACACAGGAACAAGGCCAAATGCAGTACAGAAGCGCTGATGGTCACGAGGCGAAAGTGCCTTGGTGAACACATCAGCAGTGTTGGCCTGAGAGGCCACGTAGGCAAGACGAAGCTGACCACGCTGCTGGAGCTCCCGAGAAAGGAAGTAGCGAAGAGCGATGTGCTTCGTTCTGTGCTCCAACCTCTGTTCGCGACACAAAGCAATCATTGCCTTGTTATCGACGTACAGAACTGGGGGAGAACGAGGCACCTCGCCCAAGTCGGTCAGCAGGTAGGTGAGCCAACGCAGCTCCTGTGCAGCCATGGCCCCTGCGCAGATCTCAGCCTCACAGCTAGAGCTGAGAACAGAAGAAGAGCGGGTAGACCGCCAAGAGACAGAACCGGAGCCAAGGCTGAAGGTGTAACCTTGTGACGACCGCTGCGTAGCCAAGTCGTCAACCCAAGAAGCGTCTGCGTGACCAGTGAGGACAACTGGACCCCGTCCTCCAAGCACGAGCCCCATGCCTGACGTACTGCACAAGTAACACATCACCCTCTTAGCTGCCTTCCAGTGCTCTGGATGGTGTCTCCCGGGCGCAACGTAGCGTGCCAGGATGCTGAGAGGGTAAGCGAGGTCAGGGCGAGTGCAGGTCATCAGGTACATGAGGCAGCCCACAAGCTCTGGATACGGGCCACTCGGCTCTACGGACTCATCCGAAGGCAGAGCTGAGAGCGAGTGACCAGTAGGCAGAGGAGTGGACTGTGGCAAGGAGAACTGGAAGTCGAAGCGCTGAAGGACCTGCTGCACCATGTGTGACTGGGTCAGAGTGATGGTGCGGCGTGCTCTGTCCCGAGTGATCTGCAAGCCAAGATAGCTGCGCAGCTCACCCAGGTCTGTGCACGTGTGTCTCTTCTGCAGCTCCGACTTCACTAGAGTCAATGCCTCAGTGTCAGCAGTAGCAAAGACCAAGTCGTCGACGTACACGAGGATGTAGAACGGCGGCAGTGAAGTGTCGGTGTGTAGAAACAGCGACGGGTCAGCAGTAGAAGGAGCAAACCCAAGAGCCGCAAGTGTAGTCCTCAGTGTGTCGTGCCACTCACGAGGTGCCTGGCGGAGACCGTAGACTGGCCGCCGGAGGCTCCACTGGGTACCAGGGGGAAACGACTCAGTGAAGCCAGGTGGGCGGCGCAGCCAGATCTCCTCGTGCAGGCTGCCCTGTAGAAAGGTTGTGCTGAAGTCAAGAGAGTGAAGCTCGTAGTCACGCCGAGCAGCGACGTGCAGCAGTACCCGAAGAGTGGTCATGTTCGGGGTGGGAGAGAAGGTCTGAAAGTAGTCAACTCCCTGCCGCTGACTGAAGCCACGAGCAACGTAACGCGCCCTGAAGACAGGCGGAGAACCAGGCGGCCGCTTCACCCTGAAGATCCACATGCCATCGACAATGTTCGCCCCAGGTGGGGGAACCTCGTCGACGTAGGTGCCTGTGGACTTCCAGGAAGCCATCTCTGCGTCCATGGCTGCCTGCCACTGAGAGGAGTAGGGACCCTCAACCGCCTCTGCGTAAGAGCGCGGAGTCGGGATGTCTAGTGCATCCGGGTCTCCCTCAGGGGCAAGCAGCATGGACACGAGATGAGGTGAAGCAGCAGCCAAACACTGGAACTCCTCCTGCATGTCCTCAAGGACGTCCGTGCCAAGGGCACACTCACCCCCGACGGACGGAGGACAGACAGACTCAGACTCAGCAACAAGACTGGCAGCGTAGTCTAGACGACAGCGAGCAGCAAAGTCGACAAGCTCGGCAACCAGCGCAGACGCAGCAGCAGACTCAAAGGAAGGGTCAGTGACAACAGTGGCTAGGAGACGCGTGACAGTAGGACTAGCAGCACGAAGGGAGTCAGACTCCGGGTCAGCAAGGGCAGGAAGAGAGGACTCAGGAGGAGACGGTAGAGGGACACGCTGTGGAGCAGTGGAAGGATGCAGAGTCATCCGATGCGTGCCAGCAACAGGAGGAGGACGCGGACTACTACGACTAGTGCGAGCAGCACGAACAGGCGACACAGGACGAGACGCAGGCTCACGACGCTCAGCAAGACCTCCTGTCGGACCAGCGTACGGAGACGGAGCAGGCAGCGGGGAGGTGGGCTGTAGCTGTGGCGGCGACAAGACACGCGGTGGACACTCTAAGGAAGGGGGAGGAGCAGGAGAAGGCGGGAGACCAAGAACCTGCTCAAGGAGCGGAACGAAGTACGGCCGTGGCCGCTCAGCACCCCCAGAGCCAACAGCTGCACCACCAGCAGCTCCTGCACCAGCAGCACCAACAGTAGCACCACCAGCAGCTCCAGCACCACCTCCAGCAGCTCCAGCACCCCCAGAGCCAACAGCAGCACCACCACCAGCTCCAGCACCAGCAGCACCAACAGCAGCACCACCAGCAGCTCCAGCAGCTCCACCAGCTCCACCGGTAGCTCCAGCAGCACCTCCAGCAGCTCCAGCAGCACCACCAGCTCCACCGGTAGCTCTAGTAGCACCTCCAGCAGCTCCAGCACCAGCAGCACCACCAGCAGCACCCCCAGAACCACCGGCCTCGGCACCTCCAGGGCCTGTGGTAGCACGAGTGTCTCCAGTACCAGCGGCAGCACCGCCAACTCCAGGACGCCTCCTCAGTCGCTGACGAACCGCAAACCACTCTCGCAGCTCCGCTGGTGTAAGGGGCCGGCGAGAAACCGGTCCAGCACCCTCAGTCTCCGCGCGCCCAGGCTCTACACCCTCCAGGACCTCACGCACCGGCTCAGCACCCCCAGGCTCCGCACTCTCCAGCACCTCACGCACCGGCTCAGCACCCCCAGGCTCCGCACCCTCCAGCACCTCACGCACCGGCTCAGCACCCCCAGGCTCCGCACTCTCCAGCACCTCACGCACCGGCTCAGCACCCCCAGGCTCCGCACCCTCCAGCACCTCACGCACCGGCTCAGCACCCGCAGGCACCTCACCCTCCAGAACCTCACGCCGTGGCTCAGCACCTCCAGACGCAGCACCTCGAGCAGTACCACCCTCAGCAGCACCTGAGACGCTAGTGACCTCGACAGGCTCAGCTAAGGGGGGTGGGTCTACCTGAGACACACCTGAAGGAGCAAGACCCTGGGGGGGAAGGGGGTCTACCGGAGGGGGACCTGGAGCGAGGAAGAGCGGCGGGGGAGGGAGAGGAGCAGTGCGGTAGGGAAAGAGGCGGTAGAAAGGGACTGACTCGTCAAAAGTGACGTCCTGAGAAGACAAGACAGTGCGCGAGGCGGGGTGGTAAAACTGCCAGCCAGGCGCGTCAGTCGGAAAGCCGAGGAAGACACAGGGAAGGGTGCGGGAGGAGAGCTTGTCCGCGGACGTATCGCAAACAAGAGCACGGGCACCCCAGACCCGGAACACCGACGCATCTCCAACCTCCCCCGTCCACCGCAGTGTGGGCGAGGTCTCCGGAACGGAGACACGGAGCCAGAGGTTGAGCTGCTGTGCGGCGTACCTGACCGCAAACGGCCACA